CACACACACACACATATACACACCAACCATGATGTTTCGAGACCAGGTGGGAGTGCTGGCAGGTTGGTTCAAAGGCTGGAACGAGTGTGAACAGACAGTGGCCTTGCTCTCTTTGTTGAAACGGGTGAGCAGGAGTCAAGCCCGTTTCCTCCAACTCTGCCTTGAGCATTCCTTGGCTGATTGCACAGAATTGCACGTTCTGGAAAATGAAGCCAACAGCCCTGGTAAGTTTCTCTTCTTCTTTCTCCTCTCCTTCCTTTGCTTGCCTTCCTCTCATCCACCCCTTGCTTTGTTGCATCCAATCCATCCCCAAGTCTACGTTGTTCTCTAAAACAAAGCTATAAAGGATGGTGCAAACTCAGCTCTCAGAGAGAGAGAGAGAGAAAGAAAGAAAGAAAAAGAACAAGGGTGGTCTTAAGGCAACCTGTGGAAACTGGCCTGGTCTCTTTCCACAAGCGAAAATACAATAGTGACTTTAGAATTTGAATTTTAAAAAAGCAACGGACTCATTTCTTTTTGTGTTCCAATTTGGTGTGCGGCTCTGTGAATGGTAGTCATTTTCTTCTCCAGCCTTCTGTGCAACTTCCTGCCCTATAAGTAAGTCAGATCACGTAGAGTCTGGATTTTTAAGGCTTCTTTTGGGCAGCGTGAGTTGCTCTGCCTTTTGATAGCATGCAAGAAGAAGCTTGTGTGTGTGTTACCTTGCTCAGGCTCTCAGATCTTTCTTTCCCCGCTTTTAGGGAGATGGGGAAGCAAGGATCCGGGGGCCATATACTATAAGTCCTCCCCCACCAAAAAACAACAACCACCCTCTGTGTTTGTCTGTCTATATGATCCAATGTCAAGTTTTATCAGTTCTGGTATCATTTTTCTCTTTCACAACCATTCTTGATGGAAATAATTTTCCATAGCAGAAGCTGCTGTTGTGTGTGTGTGTGTTTGTGTGTGGCATTGGCAGGATGTTAGGAAATGCTGTTGTTAACTGCATAAATACGCACTGATGTAAAGTTGTTGTTAATGGAACTCTTGTTTGTGTGCATTAGAGATTTGGCTTCCTCTAAGGTAGTAAAGTTGTAGGGTAGTAAAGTGGTGGCTTGAAGGAAATGAGAGTCAAGATGTTTTTTATGTGTGTCGTTAGGAGAGAATCTCCAGGATTAAATTTGGACTATCATTGATCATACTGGCTAGAGCTGATGGGAACTGGAGTCAAACAATAGATTTGGCCTGCTACACAACAGGTTCCACACAACCACAATATTCCAGATACCTGTTCTCCCAGGTACCAGAAAGTTTGACATTGGTGCATAGAGACGGAGATGTGTGCTTTTTAATTGCATGCGGCTGACGTAAAAGCTCAGTATGTTTTTGGTGACCACAAAGACTTAATAAAGCTCGGTGTTTACTAGAATGTTTGAAGTGTTCCTTCACAGAAATTGCACTAGCAAAACAGACACACACACACACACATGCAGACAAACATACAACAGTGGCAAGTGGTGGCTTTCATAGCAGCAGAGTGGATTGGACTGAATCTACTTTGGGTTTTAGTCTCTGGCTGCATCTGCACTGCAGAATTAATGCAGTTTGGCACTACTTTAACTGCCATGACTCAATGCTGTTGAATTCTGGGATGTGTAATTTTGTCAGAGAGCTTGGGTGCCACAACAAGCTACAAATACCAAGCTTCCATAAGATGCAACTATGGCAGTTAAAGTGGTGTCAAACTGCATTAATTCTACAGTGTGGATGCAGCCTCTTTCAGGCAGCCTCTGTGGTTTGGAGTGTTTGGGGACTGCTTCAACTGGTCCACAAATTGTGGTCTTTTCCTGGGTAGGGATAACCTAAGCCAGGGGTAGGCAACCTTTCCCCTTTAAGGGCCGAGGGACTTCATCTCCCAGAAGCCTCAGCCATGTTGGCCAATAGTCCCATGTTGGCCAACAGCTCCTGGGATTCTGGGAGCTGAAGTCCCTCGGCCCTTAAAGGGGACAGGTTGCCTACCCCTGACCTAAGCAGTCTGTGCACTGGTAACTTTGGGATTAGACTACTGCAATGCATGTCACACAAGGCTGCCCTTGAAGACAGCTCTGAAACTGCAGCTAATGGAAAATTAGATTGTTGGCCGAAACATTGTATTGAAAACATTTTAACACTGGTTTAAAGGAATTGTACAGCCTGCCAAACTGCATCTGGTCCAAGTTCAAAGTGCTGGGGATGACATTTAAAACTCTATAAATGGTATGGGACCTTGATACTGGACAGAGTGTGTCTCCCTATGTATGTGAAGTCGTAGGCTTTCATGGCCGGCATCCATAGTTTTTTTGTGGGTTTTTTCGGGCTGTGTGGCCATGTTCTGAAAGAGTTTCTTCCTGACGTTTCGCCAGCATCTGTGGCTAGCATCTTCAGAGAAAAGCATCTTCTCCCTATGTATACCTACCTGCCCAAGGACTGAAGTTTTCAGGGGGGCTCTGCTCTATGTCTCACCAAAGGGCAATATACTATAGAGCAGGGGTAGGCAACCTTTCCCCTTTAAGGGCCGAGGGACTTCAGCTCCCAGAATCCCAGGAGCTATGGGCCAACATGGGACTATTGGCCAACATGACTGAGGCTTCTGGGAGCTGAAGTCCCTCGGCCCTTAAAGGGGAAAGGTTGCCTACCCCTGCTATAGAGCCTTCACTGCTGTGGCACCATGACTGTGGAACATCTTCCTCTTAGGCTGCATCTGTGCTGCAGAATTAATGCAGTTTGACACCGCTTTCACTGTCACGGCTCCATCCTATGGAATCCTGGGATTTATAGTTCATTGCAGCACCAGAGCTCTCTAAAAGAGAAGGCTAAATATCTCACAAAACTACAAATCCCACAATTCCATAGCACTGAGCCATGGCAGTTATAGTGGTGTCCAAGTGTGTTAATTCTGCAGTATAGATGCAGCTTAAGAGACCACATTGGCATCAACACATGTTATTCTGGCCTTAAATAAAAACAGTTTGGGGGCCCAACTGGTTTTACCCAAATCTCCATATACACTATGGTTCAAAGTACTTTATCTGATTTTCATTGCCCCGTTTTTACTTCCTGGATTGTTTTAACATGCTTTCAGACTGTTTAAATTATTACTTTTTTGATTATACTGCAGGTCACCCTGAGATTGTGTGATTTTTGGGTGAGATATAAATATTGTAATAAATAAATGTCCAAGGTGCTGAAACCTGTCCTCTCAAATAGGTTTAGCACCTATAGTATTCCAATATTATTAGCTCTGTAATGTTCTGGGTAGGGCTGAGGCAAAGGGTGAATCCACACTGTAGAAATAATGCAGTTTGACACCACTTTAAGTGCTGTAGCCACATCCTGTGGAATGCTGGGATTTGTAGTTTTACAAGGCACTATAATCTTCCCCCCTCCCCATGTTCCCTACATGGGTTCTGCTTTTCGACCAATTCCAGTTTCTAACAATCCTGCAGTCTGTAACCCGTCAAAGAAGTAGAGGCTTCCTATATGTCTTGCCAGGTCAGTCTCTATCCCACAAAAGCCTAAGGAGGATATATTGACTGTGGAAAGTCCTATATTCTTCTGCATAATTATTCAGATGAAAACCACACAATTTTTGTATGCTTAAACTTCCCTCTGTGTAATGCAGACACATTTAGAGTTTTGTCACACTGCAGAATGAATGCAGTTTGACACCACTTTAATAGCCATGGCTCCATGCTATGGAATCCTGGGATTTCTTGTTTGTTGTTGCACCAGCGCCCTTTCTGACAGAGAAGGCTAACTTCTCACAAAGAAAACCCAGAATTCCATAGCATTGAGCCATAGCAATTAAAGGGTATCAAACTGCATTCATTTTGCAGTGCAGATGTAACCTTAGACTTGAAAATGTAGAGGGCTAATGGAGTCTAAGGGGGGTTGCAGACTGCCAGAAATAGTGCAAATTGAGTCCACTTTTAGGGTTAGGGTTAGGGAATCATGGGAACTGTATTTTATTGTGGCACCAGAGCCCTCTGATAGAGGAGGCTCAATGTCTCAGGAAAGAAACAATTCCCATGATTCCCTAGCACTAACCCTAACCCTAAAAGTGGACTCAATTTGCACTATTTCTGGCAGTAAGCAACCCCTTTAAGACATTTGGGCTGCACTCCTGGAATACTTGCTTGAGATTATCCATTTTTGAGAGAAGGGGGAGACTTCTCTGTGGTGGCAGCCTTTTTGTGGAATTGTGTGTGTGTTGTGTGCCTTCAGTTTTCTGATTTATGGTGACCCTAAGGCAAACCTCCCAAGAAAGGCATGCCTATGTGCCAGAACCATTATTCTTTTAGCAATGACTTTTATATTTACTAAGTTATTAAAAGCTGTTGCTCTAGCATGCCATTGTTTATTATATACCAGTAGCCCAAATCCTTCATTATGCTTGTTACATAGTTACATAGTAAAGTGGTAGCTGCACAACACTGTCCTTCTGCTAAATCCTGATAACTGTGCAAAATAGATTGCTTATCTATTAATATGCTTGCGGCTTCTGCAATCCCAGTGGACCGACTTGAGTTGGAAGCGGTGACAAATACTTACGCAAACCATAGCCATCTTGAAATATTTGAAGGGATGTCATACTGAGAAGGGAGCAAGCTTGTTTTCTGCTGCTCCAGAGAATAGGACCCGGAGCAATGGATGCAAACTACAGTATAGGCAAGGAGATTGCACCTCAACATTAGGAAGAACCTCCTGATGGTGAGAGCGACAGGGGAATATGTTTCTGCTTTGGAGAGTGGTGGAGTCTCCTTCTTTGGAGGT